GTGCATCGTTATTTGAGGAGCGGACTGGATGGGTTCTCAGAAGATTTTCCACCCCTTCCAGCCAACAGAGACTGGAGGGAGTGTCTCTGACGAAACTGTTATACGCTCTTTGCCTCTTCAGGCTTCCTGGGCTTGTACACATCGCCAGTTAGTTTGATCTCATACTCCGCGTCCTTCCCTCTGCCCTTTGCCTCCAGCTTCCGCACCAAAGGAATGACCTCCTTTCCAAACTGCTCAACCTCATCGTCGTAGTGGAGAAAGGCAGTCAGCAAGATACTAACACCCAGGCTCTTCAGAAGCAATATGCGGTCGGCGATCTGCTGGGGCGTCCCGATGAGCTTCGTTTTGAATCCATCATTGTATTGCACAAGATCCTCGAACTTGCTGTTCGCCCACATGCCAGTCCTGTCGGCGGTTGATGCACCGGCATTCTTCACTTGATCGCCGAATGCCTCAACAGCTTCTTTGTCCGCCTTACCTTGAATTTCCTGTAGGACACGGATTGCCTCCTCCTCGGTCTCCCGCGCAATGACGAACCCGTTGACTGCGAATTTGACTTGATCTTCTCGGCCTTCACGACGAGCACGCTCCTTGACATCAGCGATCTGCGTCTGGAATCCCTCGAGGGCTACAATGTTGTCCCCGTCAGGGTAAGTGGTCTTCATAACAACTGTCAGGTGGGGCTATATCTTACTGTTTCCATTCATGAAATAGTACGAGGACACTGTGGCGGCGTTCTCCCTCGCGTCAATCGAGTTTCCACCTTGAAAGATTTCTGGGTGATCCCTGCCTTCCCACTTTAGAGGTTTGGGCTGGAGCGTATAGTCGTGAAACTGGTAGAAGTCGCCTCGGAAAGTGAACTTGTCTTCTGTCCAGATGCCCTTGAGACAGGTGATGAACTCTCTCGATCGTCGATAACGTTCAGCATGATCGAGCCACCACTGGCCAATGCTGGTGAATTCGGCCTTGAACCAGCCCGAAACGACATTGACTGCCACCCGGCCGTTGGAATAGTGGTCGATACTTGCGATCTGCTTGGCTGCAACGGCGGGGTTCCAGGGGCCGGGCAGGAGTGCGGCAATGAGATTGAGCTTTTTAGTTTGGTGGAGCAGAGCTTGAGAGAAGGAGACAGGCTCATGCTGATTCTCTGCTCCGTAGCCAGACATAAACCGGATTTGTGAGAGAGCATACTCGAAGCCGACGCTCTCTGCTGTTTGAGCGTACTTGACATTCGACTCGAGGTCCCATTTGGTCCGCTGCGGGATTTTGGATATGACAAGCCCGCCCGACACGTTGGGAACCCAATAGCTGACAGAAAGGTGAGTGCTAGATCAACAGAAAGAGTGTGCAGACCATACGCAAATTTAATCCGATCTGGGGCCGAGTTAATATCAGCCTGGTCGGTAGGAACGACAACGTTGGAAGCCATCGGCTCAGCCTTGCAAATTAGATATCGGGCGAAAAGTATTCACAAGTACCACCACGTCCCGCAAGGCTTTGATGTCTTTTCGACGGCACGAATTGCTGCTCTCGACTTTTTCAATGAAGATTATTTTGACGTTTCATTCCCCTTCTCTCAGATGTCTATTCGCTTGTCTGAAAAATGTCTCGAGCGGAGAATCTGACTTGAGGGACAATGAACTGACGGACAAATGGAGCTTAGTTGTAATACTCAATTTTCCAAGCAGAGAACTGTTTCATTGTGTCCATAACTTGTGCACGTTGCGCCAATCGAAGACTCGCGCAGCGGAGCAAGAGTCGTGCAGCCGAGAATCACGAGAGCGCTGCTCCTATCGACCCCGCAGACAGACAGACAGAGACCCAGTGCGAGAGGGCAGGCAGTATTTGTTAGAGGTCATGATGGCATACGGCATCAAGATTGCGTCGTCAAAGTGACCTGCCATTGGTGTTCGATTCAAAGTCGAAATGCAGCTACCAAGGAGTCCGCGATGTTGTAGGCCAAAGGTGCGATGCTCGTCATCGTCAGGTTGGATGTTGATTGGCTATAAGCCAGGAACAGAGCTTCTTGGAATGGCACTAAAATGCCTTGCGAGGAGTCCAGACAATTGTCCTATTGTTGCTATACAGGAGAATTTGAGGAGAGGAGTAGATGCATCTCTAACCATCGCAACACACTCGCTATTCTCTAGTGTCTGGAATACCTCGAGCAGCTGGAATTTCTCTCATCGGGACTAGTCCGGAATCGCTTCAATGCTGCGTTTGTCGCCTCAACCTGGTGGAAGATGGGGGCAATACTGCAACAAACCAGAGCCACCACGATGTCTGGGAGGGAATATCCACCTCAGTCCAATCTTTTGACATATTGATCAAGTCTCTCCAAGCACAGGCGGGAATTGGCAGGCTTTGAAAATCGCTCGCTGTACATTCGAGATTAGGATTCGCTCCGGACACAATTCCGCATCGTAGGTTCGTATTCGAAAAACTGTGTTGGAATTCGTGCTCGACTGGGTCGAGCACGTCAGTCGAAGAGATAAACGACAAGAAATGGCAGACAGAACGCCCAGACTATCCGATGTTTTCCCTTTACCAGAGGGCAGATACTCGACATGTGGTCTGATTAATCTGCCCTCGCGCTTTTCGTATAAGAAGCAATACTTCGAGTGTCGTTAGCGACGGTCCACGCAACTCTTGACTTGTCAGATTACAAAGTTGGTTGTTTTTTTCTTCTTTTTGAAGGAGCTTTTCGACCCCTTACCCAGACCTGTCTTGTCAGTGACCATGGGGTCAGTCGAAACTCCCAAGACGGCCGCTCGCGTCGACCAGCAGGTCGATTTTTCCAAAGCAGGGCTGCCTAGTACTTCAGAGGAGTGGATTGCGCGCGCAAGAGATGTTGCTCAGATTCTCGCCGTGGACGCCCCCCAGCGAGATATCGAGAACAAGTCACCATCCGACGAGATTCAGCTTCTCAAAGCTTCCGGGTTAACGAAACTCCTGGCACCCAAGGAATACGGCGGCGCTGGTCAGGATTGGTCCATCGCGTACAAGGCTATCCGCGAAGTGGCAAAGGGCGACGGCTCCATTGGCATGCTTCTAGGCTATCATCTCCTGTGGTCCACGACTGTCAACGTCGTTGGCACTGACGAGCAGAGACAGCGCGTGCAGAAATTGATCCTAGATAATAACTGGTTCATTGGCGGCGCCGTGAACCCACGCAATGCTGATCTCAAAATCACCATTGATGGCGAGGAACTCGTGTTCAATGGTTCCAAGTTCTTCAATACTGGAGGCGTCGTGTCCGATGCCACGATTCTCGAGGGCGTGTTAGATGGTACCGGGGACCATATTTTCACCATTGTACCCACAAAACAGCCCGGAATTCAGTTTGGCCATGACTGGGACAACATTGGCATGCGATTGACCGAATCCGGGAGCGTCAAGATCGAGAACGTCCGCGTCCCTTGGACAGACGCGTTTGGGTGGGATAGCAAGACCAAGAAACCAATTGACGCCGTGTTGAAGGTTCCTTTCGCCTCCCTCTTGCTACCCACCATCCAGCTGGTTTTCTCCAACTTTTACGTGGGCATCGCACTGGGTGCGCTTGACGAGGCCAAAAGATGGACCACGACCAAAACCCGCGCGTGGCCCTATGGGGGGGATAACAAAGAAAAGGCAACTGACGAGCACTACATCCTGGCGCGTTACGGGAACTTCCACGCGCATCTGAGGGCAGCTGAAGCACTGGCAGATCGTGCTGGTGAGGAATTGCGGGACGTATACCGGGACCATAGTGAGAAGAGAGACGTGAGCGCTCGGCGGCGGGGAGAGGTTGCGGAATGGGTAGCGAGCATCAAAATCGTGGCCACAGATGTCAGCCTGCAGGTGACTAGTAGAATCTTTGAGGTCACTGGTGCCAGCTCCACGGCCAGAAAAGTTGGTTTGGATCGCTTTTGGAGAGACGTGAGAACGCACACTCTGCACGACCCAGTGGCGTATAAGGAGCGGGAGCTGGGGGCCTTTTATCTGCTGGATGAGGTTCCTCAGCCGACCTGGTATACTTGAGATACTGGCCAGGGAAGGACTGATTTTGGACCACAGTGTCGCCCCTCACAGACCTCGAGTAGCTAGACTGATTCAAATACCTGGCATCGTTGCTTGCACCAGGAACCTCGGCTTTCAAGGCTCATGGGTGTCGAGATGTCTGTGTTGCCATCATCAATGGACAAGGCCTGTAATCCACGTGACTTTTAGGGCACGTGGTAAAAACGTACAAAATTGGCCATTCCAAATACAACCTAGTGGGTGCGGCTCACCTTCCCCTTCAGTGCTCTGAATCAAGATCAGCCTTGCCAAGTCAGCCTTGTGAGAAGTATGGATGTGCAAAGGTGAGAGGAAGTGCTTTCAGAAGACGATAGAACCAATTAGTTTCCTCCGCGAGAGAAAGAGCTGCATGCTCTCTTCTCCCTCTGACAATAGACCAAATGGGCACGAGAGAAACCCAGCGGCCCCCTGGTCTCCTACTTGTACTAGGCTAAATATCATCCAAGCCGGTTCCAATAGAAACCAATCTGGGATGCCCGTCACTCCAGTGACAAAGTTGAGTCAGGTGCCCAAACCAAGTTGTCCTCGATTAAGAAAAAGGGTTGGCTGAAAGGTCCAATGCTGAAATCTCCTTCCCCCAGAGTGGAACCCAAGATCAACATGTATTCTCTCTTTATGCCGCCTTAATAACCATCCTTGCGTGGTTGTCGCCCTGCGCCAGACACCTTACTTTGAACCTAATTTCATGATCGAGGTGAAATGCAACGAGAAAGAGCTTTTCTAAATGTACACAGGGCCTGAGTCGAAAAGAGGCCCCCGACGAACAGTTTCGTGCTGTTAACAAGCAACAGAAACAATGCTTTGCTGCAAATGTACTGCAAGGGTCGTAGGAATCGTTAGTGTTCTTGGTGACTTGTCTCAGTGATCACTTTGTGCTCAAGTGTCAACTCGGTGAACAGTGTGATATGTCTAAGATCGCCCGTTGGTGTGACTCGTGCGCACTAAAAGAAATGCGTGTAGACTTTGGATGACTCGTGAACCTCCATTTCCTGTAGCACGTTAGCAGTGTTTCAATCTCAGAGCAAGGCATGTGGCGCACCATCTTGAAGGTATTGAGCTCCTCTTTGATTTGCTGTGCTAGCATTGGAGTCAATCGATTGCAAGTTGCTATCTCACCCCGTCGATCGTATTCTCCACTAGGCCAGGTATCATAAAACTGAATTCGTGGGCTGAATGAAATGTTGCGAATTAGACCCTGCGGGGTCACTGGTGTATTCTTCGAGTCTAAGCTGCCAAGTCTAGTCATGGAAGAAAAATAGTCGTCATGGTCGCTGCTTTCAATGGTGATGGAGTCGGTTCGACGATGACCGGATCGTGGTGGTTCGTCGGCAGGTGTGCTAGGAGCACTGGATTTAGGTGAGTCGTTCATATGAGGAATTTGCGGCAAGTTGAAATCGGGAGCCTTCAAGTCCTGTGGCTTGACCTTCGGGGATGGTTGATTTGAATCCGTCCGCTTGAGGATGCCTTTCTTTACAGCGGCTAGGACCTCAGCACGCTCTTTCTCTCCACCAACAATGCTTCGCCGTGATCGTGTATCACTGGATACGGTACCACTATCAAAGGAAAGTTTGGTATCGATGGAATTGCGCTCCAGTTTGGGGAAGCCAGTACCTCCTCTAGCCTGCTCGTGAGGATTCGCGTTGACGTTGACATTCTCTCTCTCTGCTTCGACTGTGACCATTGACACCTGGGCTATCGTCGCTGAGTTGACTGGCGCATCGGCTGCAGGTACACCCACAACAGATTTTGGCCGGAACAAGCCCACGAGAGATCGAGTGCCCTTCTTGACTCCCCTCCCCATTTTACGGAGCATAACCGAAGCCGAAGAAGCAGTCGAAGAGATGGACAAATTGTCAGTCGAACCAGTAAAGAAGTTGCCCTGACCAGAATAAATGCTTTCACCCAGTCCAGCGGCTTCTTGCTTTTCAGCAATACGCGCTTGTTCAGGCTCCAGCTCATCCTGGTATCTCGAATTTCTCTTGGATTGTGTCTGATTGTTTGCAACACTCTTCTCAAGATTGTGCTGTGCAGTTGCCTTTCTAAGTTCTGCCGCGCTACCAAACGAAAATGCCCTCCGCAATTTCGACTTGGGCTTCTTCATTTCCTTATTGTTTACTGCAGCGAGTTGTTCGACAGCAAGGCTATGTGGAGCGTACGCTGGTGAAGCAATTGAGGTTGCAGCCGCTGGACGTCCTTCGTCGGCGTTGTCAGGGGGAATGTTTACAGGTCGGGATAATGGAGATGGCTGGCGAATGCTCGAATCTCCAAGACGAGGCGGTCCAGCAGGTCTCGATTCTTGCCTAGGGGAGGAAGAGGAGGAAACGGGGCCAGGAGGGGTGGCCACGGATGGCTGTTCTGCTCGAGACTGTATGAATGTAAGTAAGCATTTCTCACAGCAGAACAGAAGAAAACTTACGGAACCGGGTCGGGAGGAACGAGCAGACACCGAGGATGTCACGCTGTCAGAACTCGAGGTGTGTCTGTGATGACTGGGTCGCTGAGGCGGGAGTAAAGCACCTCCTTGACCAGGGGACGAATCGAGGAACGCCTTTGGGTGAGGAGAGACGGTTTCTTGGTTATCAGAAGCATGGTTCAGACCTGCCGTCTCGATGCTGCCGAAACTACGTCTCCGATACCTTGCAGCCAGCTCTGCGGGCTGGGGCCGAACCAATTGGAGATCATCAGCACTGGAGCTCTTAGGCTGAAGACTAGTGCCTTGCTGTGAGCTTCGGTAAGACTGCTGGGAATGCAGAGACGGTGTACTATTGGACTGAGTAGGATGATTGTAAAGAGAGCCGACTGCCGCCATTCCAGAGCCCGATGGCAGAGTAGAGCCTGCAGGAATACGGTTTGATCCGTTCTCTGGGTCACTTCGTCGCACATTTCTTCGATAACGATCTGGCGAAGGTTTCGGCGCAGTTGTCGATGGAGGACCCATGAAAGAGCCAGAGGGTATAGGGGGTAGTCCCAGCGACAGAGGACGATTTCCAGCATCGACATGTGTAGAACTATTCGGAGAGGAAGGTTGCGAGGAAGGTGACGGAATTGGCTGAGGGGCTTTTGGGGAAGAAATCGAGCGCCCGGTATTTAGAGCGAATGGGCGAGCATTGGGATTGGCGTTGAGATTGCTGGTGGCCAACTGCGGTGTGGACGTGAAGGCGTAAGGGGCAATGGGACCACTAGCTGGCATGCTCTATACCCAGTGGCAGGCATGTTATATCGGCTCGGTTGGTGGCTTCTGGTCTGTCCTTGCGAGGCCTGAGAAGGATACCCCCCAGAAGACGAGGGGCGACCTAGCATTGTAACCGTCGTTGTTTGGGGAGGAAGTGTTTGGACCAAAGCAGCCATCTTCTGTTTTGGCTGTGTTCAAGCACAAGTTGCCTGGTATGAGCCAGGTCGTGGTAGGGCAATCTTGTTTCAATTTTGGGGGCCGGTTAAAGGAGAGTCTTTCCTCGAGGAATTCAACTGCGGATAGCCAAAGTCAGTATTTCCTGAGCCAATTTTCAGGTTGGCCCGAACTCGACAAACTGCGTAACTTAGAAGCACGCACATTGTGGTATGGTTATTCTCTTCTCTCTTAAAATATGGCACCACGTCTCGACATGCCAGGGTCAGAGCGTGGATCTGTTCAAGCCCCCTGATAGATGGGGGTTTTGCTGCCGGGTTTCCAAGGAAGCCCTAGACTGAATAGGAATTGAACGAAGGTAGATTATGTACGTGACGGTAAGAGTCGAACGTCGAACAAGAAAAAACGAAGGGCCTGAAGAAAGTCGTCTTCACAGGAGAGAGAAAGCTTCGCAGGGGAAACCTGGTAGCTCAAGAAACGAAGGTAGACAGCTGCGGCGCGAGGACAAGAGCGTTAAGCGAAGGCGGCCGTGGATGGGATGAAATGCAAAGAGGAGGAGAAGAGGAAAGAGCAAGTGATAACAACGACGACAATAACGAAGAGATTGTGTCGATTGGATGGATATAGAAGAGGGGGGATGGATGATGGCGGGAAGTGGTGTTGGTGATGAATTGGAAGTGGACGATAAAAGAGGGAAGGAGAGGTTCAACCGCAGTTTGGCACAAAATGGCCCAAGCACCATTCAGGAGACAGGCCCAAAAGGCGGGAGTTTCTTTTTAGGCGGGTTGGCTAGTTGGCTAGTTCCCGATCGTGTCCAGCGCACTACCACGACCACTACTCGTAAAAGGGAGTACCAAGGGGAGTGGGATACGCGTCCTGATGCTTGATGCTTGATGCGTGATGCCCCAGGTGGTTGATGCTCGAGGCCTGTGGGTGCTCTGGGTACAGTTAAGGTTAGTGACGTGCTAGGCATCTACCTAGTAGCATCAGGGCTCCCACTGCGCCTGGCAGCCATACCTACCTACGCGTGGGTAGTACATAACTGTCGTGAATCTGGCCCGCCCCATAGCCCGGCGTGTTCCCTGGAATGCACCCTCCCCATATCTCGCGTCTGACCCTACCCGTATTATGCATAATAATAATACAGAAATTACTCCTTTTTCTGTACCATTGGCACCTCACCACTCCCCCTTTCAGACCGCGTCCAATGACTCTGAGCATTTCGTTCTCTCATGTGTTTCAGATTAGGGTTCGCTCCAGAGAGAGAGATCAGAGCACGCTCAACGCGCGCTCGTAAACAACTCAATGCTGACACCCATCACAGGACTCTTGCCTCCGTCCATTTGCTCTGACTGGCGGTCATGAACCGCGTCCAACAAGCCACGGACTCTCATCGACTGACCACCCTGGTTGTACCTACGGAGCACTGGCCTGTTATTAAATATATCGTGGTCCTTAGCTACTGCACTGTCCTTAGCGATCACGCGGAGATGCCTGGACCCACGACTCGTATTTCTTTGTGAGCATGACGCAGACACACAGACCGCACAAATTCCAATCTCTCTCTCCACAAGTTCCGATATGGACAAACGCCGGAAGACGGAGAGTCAAAGTGGTAAGACTGACTCTCGAATCGATCCGACAATTCCAGTGGGAAGGAGAGCCCCGAATACCAACTTTTCCCTAAAGAGGTGATTTATGGTTCGATCAACATTTGCAGTCCTCTATTAATTTTCCCTAGAACTTTCAGCATCGAACGTCCTCGACACAGGGACACCTCGGTCAAGTAGTAGTTGGTGCTGCCACGGAGTAGGAGGACCTGTTCTCCGTAGCGAGTACCTTGCGCGCATATGGGGAAGTTCCTGGGCACACATCCATAGGTTGAGGAACCGAACAACCGAAACAAGTTCGATGCTGATCACCTTTAGAGGCGCCCACCAGGCTCTCTCGGGTTAAGTAGAGCCCCGCAGCTATCACACCTACAGATCGCTCCCGCCCTTCGCTGCCTCATCGTCCAGATTGCTCGTTGAAAAGAGATGGGATGGACATTCAGGATCACTAGGGCAGGGAAGAAGAAATCACACTTGTGCCAAACAGGCATGCAGTTGCAACAACGTGCAGGGACCCGTCGAACACATTCATGACATGTATAGGGTCATACGAGGCCAGGACACCGAAAACCCTGTACGATGATGCCCATCACTGTTTTTCCCTTGGGCTTGGCCCTCCCCCTTGTACGGAGTAACGTCGCCTCACACGGCCCCAGAGAATGGATCCAAACGCACATGAAATCCAAGCAGCAAGCCCGTGCCCACTTCAAACTAGATCCATTCTGATGTTGCGTCACTTGGGCTAGCCTTGGAATCGTCGCTGGTTGGTTCTCTGGAGGCTTTTTCTTGCCGAAGTCCTGCCTACCTGCAGCCATTGGTAAGGGAAGATTCACTCGAGGTAGGGATCTTGACACCAACGCATCCACACGCTGTCACCTTATAGGTATCAATACAACGAATACTCGTAAAACATGGGTCGTCGTCCGGGTCCATTTTACAGCATGGTGGTCTTTTCAGCTGAACAGCAAAGATAAAACAGACGGAGCAAGGACCCTGATAATCTATCTGGCCAGTCGCCACTCTTTATCTCCTGGTCTAGATCGATTACACTAAGACACATGCACATGGAAGCCGCCTACATATTTCCCTCTCACATGCGATAAATCGGCACCGAGCCATGATGCATGCATTCGTCCTCCGGAGAGGCCTGCAGAATGCATGTTTCAAGTCCACGCCACGAGCAAATCAGCTCTTCCGACGAGCAAGCAGAAGTAGTCCTGCGCCGTGACCACCACCGTGCTTTTGACATGCCAGGTCTCCGCATGACTCAAACTTTGATTTTTAACGGCTTACCCAACAACCATGTGTCTATTCTGCCGATAATGTGGTCTCCTTGGTCTTTTTCTTGCTTGTCCAACTCGAACAGATGGCCTCCTCACATTTGAGCATTTACTCGATGTGTCTCACGTGAGAACCATGCAAAAGGAGAGCCTGGTATGATTCCCTTGAGCCGGAGCAATTATTATGTTGTCCAGGACCCTTGTGGCTTCTTTCATGCAACAATCAGGCACAGATGGCTCCTGACCAACCGATTTGTCCGCACAAATCTTTTCTAACGATTCTCTCCTCCGCGGGCGGAAATTTTTTCGAGGGCGAAGCCGGTGCTTGTCTTGATCCAGCAGCTCAACAAATTATTTGAGTTCTGCCACTGGCTCCAGATCTTTCCGCAGTCCGTGAACTTGCGGGGAACCACTGTCAACATTGCAGCTGCAGCGGCACAAAGACACCACTCTCGCTCCAGAAGATTTAACTATCCAGAGCAATGAATTGTGGAACAAAGAAATCGCCGTTATCGTCCCTTTTCTACTGACAACCTTTCTCATCCTCGTCTGTTTTGGCCCAATGTGCTCAGAGTTCTTGGGAGATGCCCCGTACTGTACAAAGAACCCCTGCGAACCACTGCGGGGCACTGCCTGGGGTTCCCTGAAAGCTCTGTGGCTCCATGAATTGTGTATGCCGGATCACATGCATTTCCGATGTTGATTGCCACCGAGAAGACGTGATCGGCCGACTTTACACCAAGGTGACAGGCACAGGCACCATTTCGTATGGGCAACCCCGACAACCGATTGTGTGAGATGACAGACGTGAGAAATCAGTTCTGCTTGTTGCTGCTGCTGATGGGGGCAGCATCATGCACGATACCACTTTGCGGTCTTTTCGATTAATTGCATTAAATTAATCTCGAAGATTCCGATCCAGCTCTGGCAAAGAGTGCGTCTGTTCAAGCCCTTCGAACCATGACAACAAGAACAAGGTTCCAATTTAGGTATGGAGCAGACGATCTGCTTCCACGCGAACACGTTACCTAGCCAGTGGTGTCATCTGACCCAATATTGAGCTGCCGCTTTCAGCTCAGCCAGAGATCAAGTTTTTCTTCGGTGAAACAACGTGGAAGATTTCTCGCCTAAGCGTCAATGATTGAAGCTGGCTATTACACACGAAAGGTTTGCAACAAGCGATATTCAGGGCAAGGAAGGTAAGATCTGACTCACAAGGATCTGCTGGTAGGATTGTCCCAGGACTACGAGCCTGACAAGGACAAGGATCATGCAATTTGACTTGAGTCCGCCCCTCTACTGCACGGTTTTCAGAGCATTATCGGTCAGAGATCAACGGGTTCAGATCAAGTCAGCTTGCGACCTGACCACGTTTCGATATGTTATTATCAAGTCTTTGCTCCCAAACCTACCAGTTCCCCAGGTAACCCAAGCTACATCATTGTGATTTGCACCAAGAGTCATATGAACATCCAGATTGCTAGGCTTGTTCTGCTGTACGACGGGATGGAAGTTGATCTTCTTTTGTAACGTGTTCACCTCTGAGCGAATACCTACCTGCGAGTCCACCCACGACCTTTGCAACATCCCATGCCAAACACATACGTCTCTTGCGTATCAGAATTGACTAAGCGGGTGTCAGAGTCGTCCCCTCGAGCAGAAGTTTCTGAGATTGACTGACCGCCTGTTGGGAGATTCGGACTCATCGAATGTGTTGTACAGACCTGGTTCTGAACCCGACTGAGCCGCATATCCTACTGCGGTGCTGCGCTCACGGCGTTACGGCAGGCTCGCTATGAGATGGTCACACTGCGCAGCCGTTTCCGAGAGCAAGGCTCCAAACCGATGGTTTGTGTAGCTTCCCATGCTGGAAGCAAACAACAAGCAAAGGAAGGCGTTGGCAGACAAGTGGTACCTCTGTGGCTTACTCTCAAGAACCAGGCGACTTCGTGTT